AGCGTAACTGAAGCTGCAACACAAAAAAAAACAGCTGTTCGATGACCCGGCTTAAATTAAAGCTTCTAACTGAATTCCTCATCGAGACACCGGAGTGGCTTAGACATAGATCGAGCTTTTAACCCCATGTTTTGAGTAGATGTTCTACAAAATGAAATGAGGTGGAGGATTTTCCATCAGCGGCAGAGAGCTAACTCATCTTCGACTTGCTGTCGATGACGCTGTTGGGAACGAAGACAAAAGAAGGTGAGGTTAAGGAGCAGACTAATTGAACTTTAGAAACACAGGGCGATAAAAATTGTGAGAAATTCACACAACCAGCCGTCATAAACATTAATTTTTATGAAACAGAAAGAGTCATCGAGTGTGGTAATCGTCTCAAGCAGTATTTTTGTTTAGAACTCGCTAGGAGGCATCGTGGAGTACATAGTGAAAATATCCTCACCTTCTTGAGAACAGAAGACCACCCAATGCGATTAGAACCATAGTTGCAATTCCTGAGCCTCATGATGAACTGTTAAAAGTGCAGCAGCTGATTACGGAATGAAGAAAGCTAGGAATTTTCATCACGGACAAGCTGCGAAATAAGGAAATAAGAAAACACATAGAAACGCAGGTTGTTGTATCCGTGGCTAGGAAAAGAAACCAAAAATGCAGATCCCTTTGCAGATTGGTGGCTGATCGATGGACTTCAACGGTGACTGGTTGGTCGCCAGTAGACTGCAAGAGCCCAGTTGGAAGGAACAGATGGTACGATTGGCCTAAAGAAGGATATAGAGGCTTGTGGAGACAAATTGCACGAGACAAACGGGCGTGGGTGTCCGGACTAGGCAATGGTTTTCCGTCAATTACGAAGAAGGATCAGTCCAAAATAAACAAATTCAAGAACAATATGGCATTATTGCCTCACCCCTCGCTGACAGAGCCGCAATGAGCCATTTAGGGCGGTAACATTTGCAGTATATCGATACATCTGACATCACGTGTTGAATAATAACGCATTATTTAGGCCGGTATCAATCAATCATTTTTAAAGTTGGTCCTCCTTGTTTTAAAGACAGAATGCTAACTTGGGTTCGATTCTAACTGTAAGGTAATTGTTGAATCAAAGAACAGATCAGCTTGATTTATCTCAATGGGTTATTATACTTGGGGTGGGAGGCAATGGCGTGTCTGGAATAAACCTTAGAACTGCTTTACGAATTTACGGAATGCACAATTTGGCATGAATAGCAAAAATGTTGAAAGAAGTGGAATGAAAGGGCCCGTCGGTTTCCAAACCGATGCGTTGAATAAAGTATACAGTATCAAATCACGTGATAACTGAGACACCTGGTGAGCGCTTAAGGTTTGTCTGGTTGGGGAGCCGACGCAGCAGCTAAGTCTCTGAGCTTCTTCATGAAATCAGCTCTGTTCAGAAAACGGCTTAAATTCTTCTGGTGATACTTCGCCATTGGATGTATTGTTTCGTTTTAGCTCCTTAAACTAAGCTTGGTTTCGATTTCAGCAGTAACGGTTATAAGACTGAAACAGGCATATAATGAACACCAGTCCAGATCATGCGGATTAGAACTTTGACCAGTAAGATCAGTTCCTAAGACCAGAAATAATTTTACTGTAATTCTTCGTGGAACAGAGTACAGTATATTCTTGATGGTACATTCTCCAAGTCAGTCCGCAACTTTAGCACATTTTCTACCATCCACCTTAATCCACCTGTGTTTTTCTGGATTAACAATAGACAGTCCTTCATTGATATTCACCCTGAATATAGCAACGGAAAATTACAAATCAAAAGTTCATAAATAAACGTGTCGTCTGTTGTTTTGAACTGTGCCTCCTGATCGATGAACAAAATTATTTGTGGATAAAGAGGCTTATTAAGAGGTAGCTGAAATTAACTGCCTTGAACTTTTTTTATCCATATCATTACGCTTGGATTCAAACAATAAAAATAAGCATCCAACTAATACCGTAGGTAGGGACACATCTGTTTTTGGACAAGAATTATTTCCTCCGCAATGAGTGACAGGTACCTTATAGCAAAA